AGCCTCGGGGGTGGGGCTGCTCCCCCAGGAGGCCCCCTTGGGTCCCTCTTGGGGCCCCTAAAGAAAGTCTAGTAAAGAGGAGAGCCCAGAAGAGCTGGCAGACCAGAGAGAGGCTCAGGGGCTGCGGCCGCAGCGCACTGTGCTGCAGCAAATGGTGAAGTTGCCGCTGCTGGGAATGGGCTTTTAAAGAGCTGCTCGAGATGCACCAGAGGACAAGCCCTGGCTGTTAGAAGATGAAGTCTAATTAGCTAAACGATAATTAATTAATTAGATGATTAATTAATCTTTTGATTGTTAATCTAATAAAATTAACAAGGAAGAGCTGAAGCTGCAAGCCACCACTGGGCTGAGGAGAATTCCTTTTCTTGCATTTAAATCTCGAAATAAGTTCTATCATAACAGCACTGCAATTCTGCATTTAAACATGCTGCTCATCTGCTGTTAGAAAGCAGCAACTTCAACAACTGCTGCTGCTGTTGCTTCTGCAGATGGTATACCCAGAGGCAGCTGCTCTTGCACCTGAGGCTGCAACTCCTATCGCCAACAGCAGCAGAAGCAGCTGTTGCAGCTGCTGCGTCTGCCAGCAGCAGCAGCTGCTGCTGCAGCTGCGGCTGCAACTGCTGCATCGCGCCAGCAGCAGCAGCAGTAGCTGCTCCTGTGCTACCCCAGGAAGAGCCCGAAGGATTTAACGATAACCAAATTGCTCCTAAATCTCTCACAGCCTGTAGGAACATGCAGCCACAAAAGCCGGCCTCTGCTGCAGCAGCGGCGTGCTGCTGCTGCTGCTGAGGCAGCTTCATAGTGCTGCTGCTGCAGCAGACTTTGCTGCGCTCTCTGCAGCAGTACACTCCAGTTTGCTGTGCCGCTGAAGGAGCTTCACATTGCTCCAGTTTCAGCAGGCTTTGCTGCGATCTCTGCAGCAGCACACCCCCTTTTGCTACACCGCTTAGAATATCACCAGCCCATTACTACAAAAGATTTTATAAGGACTTCTTGAAAACTTTTCAAATGGAATTGAAAGGAAAAAGAAATGTTTCAAAACTAGAAAGATTGTTTTAAAGTGGTCCACCACACCGCGCGTTTGTGGTCTAGTGGTAGAATACCTCGTTGCCATCGAGGTGACCCGGGTTCGATTCCCGGCAGACGCAGTTTACTTTGTTTCTTTAAGATCCTTTCTTCTTCTTCTCCTGCTTTATTCTCGCCAATAAACTCCAATTTGTTTAAATTGAAAAGGACTTTTGTCAGATTTATCTTGATGTGTAGCTCTCAGCGCTGCAGCGGAGCAGCAGCGGAAACAGACTGCTGCAGCGGCCACTAAGCCCCCTGCTGCTAAACGCGCATGCCATGTGGCTTACAAGTTGCTGCTGCTGCGCGTTTTGCTGCCGCAGCAGCAACTCTGGGCGTTCAGAAGGCGGCGTTTTTGTGTTGATTAGAGGTGACCCAGCAACTCCAGCTGGCCTCTGAGGGCTCCAAAGGCTGCACAGCTCTTTCCCGTACCCTCAGCAAGCCAGCCGTTTCTCAAAAATCAATTTTAAATTACTCTTTTACCTCCAGATAATTGCGAGGTTCCTGCTGCGCTGCTTGCTGGGGCTCCGTTGCTGCGCAGCAAAAGACAGCTGCTGCCTCAGTGAAGCTAGTGGGGGGAAACCGCAGCGAATCCCTCGGATTTGAGCTGCTGCTCTTGAGGTAAGTCAAAAACGCATTTTATTTTGGTTTGCTGCTGTCATTGAGGCGGGAGGCTTCCAGGAGGCGCTGAATCTTGTGGCTGCTTCCAGGGGTCTTCACCGCAGCTGCGCTTTCCGGCGTCAGGCAGTAGCAGCATCAGCAGCAGCAGCAGCAACAGGGCCAGCACAGGTTAAGATCCTGGGCTTTGACTCGCAGCCCTGAAGACTAGGAAGGTCCCCGTGCTGCAGCAGGCCCCTAAGCTGCTGCTGCAGTGCCGCAGGGGGCCCCGAGGCTGCTGCTCCCGTTGTCTTGGGGTGTGGGGCCCCAGCAGCAGCTAAGCCATGTCCGCAGCCCTGCAGCGCAGCTGTGGGGGCCCCACGGGCTTCCTGTTGCCTGGGGGGCCCCTAGAGCCCCCGAGTCTTTGGGGGCCCCCTTTTGCTGCTGTGACCGCTTAGCCCCAGGCCACGAGCCAGGCTTCTAAGATAAGGCACTGCTGCTTCGCCTTTCCGCCGAAGCTGCAGCAGCAGCACCTGCAGCAGGAGCAGCAGCAGCAGCAGCAGCAATAGCTTGTGAGGGAGGCGCTGCTGTAGAAGTCGAGATGACTTCTCAGTCGTCTGAGGCGCGAGGACACCCTGAAGAGAGCTGCCTAGCAACGCTGAGTGACGCGACACATCTGCTGCAGCAGTCGCAGCAGCAGGAGCAGCTGCTGCTACAGCAGCTGCAGCAGTCGCAGCAGCAGGAGCAGCTGCTGCTGCGGCAGCTGCAGCAGCTGCAGCAACAGCAGCAGCAAGGACACCAAGAACCGCTTACTGCACACAAGCCTCAGTCATGCACGTCAGCCGCGGCTGCTGCTGAGATTCACTCTCCAGTGGGGCCCCACGAAGACAGCCAGAAGCGGCAGCAGCAGCAGCAGGAGCGGGAGCAGCAGCAGCAGCAACAGCTGCAGCAGCAGCAACAGCAGCAGAAGCAGCAGCGCGAGAAGCAGCAGCATCAGGAGCAGGAGGACGGAAACGAGGAGCAGCACTGCGCGCAGCTGCAAGAAAAGAAGGCAAGGAGGGGGAAGCTGCAGCGTCAGCAGCAGGAAGAGCCGCAGGATGAGCAGCAGCAGCAGCGTCAGCAGCAGCAGGTAAAAGGGCAACCGACTGGCCCGGAGCCTCAGCAGCACGTAACAAGCAGCAGCGTCAGCAGCAGCAAAGAGAGCAGCAGCAGCAGCTTGGCGACAAGCAGCAGCAGCACCAGAAATGTGGGGCGCCGCAGAGCTCGAGCACCATCAAAGTCATCAGCAGCAGCAGTTGCTGCTGCTGCTGCTGCTGCAACAGATGCTGCTGCCTCCCCAGAGGCGAAGCGGAGGAGGAGAGAAAAGCACGACGTGCAACAAGCAGCAGCAGCAGCAGCAGCAACTGCTGCTGCTGCAGCTGCTGCAGCTGCTGCAGAAGGCAGTGTTACTGCTGTTGCAAATGATGACTTCTGCGTCATTGAGGCCTTCGCTTATCCGGGTAAGGAGCAGCAGCCCCAGCAGCAGCCGCAGCAGCCGCAGCAGCAGCAGCAGCAGCAGCAAAGCAGGCGGAAGCGAAAGCAGTCACCTTCCCAGAACATAGACGCGTTCTTTCCTGCGCTGCTGAGCGTAGATCAGAGCAGCACAACAGCAGCAGCAGCGCCAGCAGCAGCTGCTGCTCGCGCTGCTGCTGCTGACAGTGCTGCTGCTGCACCGCCTACAAAGAGCAGAGCCAGACAGGCAGCAGTACCTGCTGCAGGGGCGGGAGCAGCAAAGGCGCCTAAGGAAAGCAGGCGCAAAGCTGCAGCAGCAGCAGCAGCAGCGAGCAGTGATGCCGCTGCTGCTGCTGCAGCAGCAGCACGCGCAGCGAAGACTGGAGGGGACTCTCCGCTGCTGCCGAAGGGCAGGAAACAGCCGGGAGCAGCAGCAGCGGCGACGCCGCTGCTGCTTCGAAGGCCCCAGGTAAGAAGGCAGCCGAAGCAGCTGCTGCAGCAGCAGCTGCGGCAGCTGCTGCAGCAACACCTGCAGCTGCTGCTGCAGTTGCTGGGGATTTCATTATCTGCTGCCGAATGCAGGAGGCTCTTGCTGTTGCTGCTGCTTGTCGGCGCTTCTACCACACTTAACATGTAATTGTTGCTGTGGCTGCCGTTGCTGCTGCTGCTGCTGCTGCTGCGGCTACAGGACCCTTCAGAGCTAGCTGACTTTTCGCAGCGGGTGCGGCAGCGGCTGGTTCTAGTGGAGCAGCAGCTGCAGCGGTTGCAGCAGGAGCAACAGTGTCTTTTAGCTGCTCTCTGGGACCTGGGGCCTGCAGCAGTTGCAGCAGAAGCCCCTGAGGCCTTTCCAGCGCTGCAGCAGGGGCTGCGCGTGGCTGAATATCTTGAGCAGCTGCAGCAGCTTCAGGCGCAGCAGCAGCAAGCGGAAGCTCCCAAACAATGTGCTACCAAAGAGCAGCAGCAGCAGGCGTTGCCACCGCAGCAGCAGCAGCAGCAGCAGCAGCTCGATGAACGGCAGCCCGTAGATCCACACGATGCGGGGCACTCTCTCCCGCGCCAGCCGATGTCTGAGCAGCTGCTGCAGCAGCAGTGGGAGCAGCTGCGGCTGCAACAACAGCAGCTGCGTCTGCAGCAGCAACACGTGCTGCTGCAGCAGCAACTGTGTGCTGTCATGCTGCTGACAGGCCTCGAGTCCCCTATTCAGAGAGAAGCAGCAGCAGCACCAGCAACAGCAGCAGCAGCACCGGCAGCAGCACCAGGAGAAGCAGCGAGAGCAGCAACGGAAGCTCCTAGTGCATCTTCAAGGCATGAAAGGCAAATTAATGCAGCAGCAGCAGCTGCTGCTGCTGCTGCAGCAAGTCCAGCAGCTGAATGCCCACCACGCGTGCCATCAGCGGGGCAGACAGCCTCAGCCATGAGTGGCGCAGAAGCTTCGTTGTCTGTGGAAGGTGTACGTGCAGCAGCTGCAGCAGCTGCAGCGGCAGCAGCAGCAGCAGCAGCAGGAGTTGCTGCGCGGGCAGCTGACGGCATGGCAGCAACACCGAAAGCCACCGCAGCAGCGGCAGAAGCCAAGGCAGCAGCAGCTGCAGCACCTAACTCGAGCAGATCCGCAGTAGTCTCTGCAGCAGCAGCTGCAACAGCAGCTGCACCAGCAGCAGCTGCACCAGCTGCACCAGCAGCAAATGCAAATTACCTTCGTGCTGCTGTTGCTGCAGCAGAAGAAACCGCTGCGACAGTGGCGGGGGGGTTGCCCCTGGTTCGCAGCAGGACGACAGCAGCGGCGGCGAAAGCAACAGAAGCAGCAGCAAATACAGATAGAACAGCAGCAGCAGCAACAGCAGCAGCGGAGGATTGGGCTGCAGGGACAACTGCTGCTGCTGGGACACCTCCTGCAGCAGCAGCTGCTTCTGGAGCAGCTAATGCGAAGACGGCGGAGCGGACACGGGAGGCCTCACACGTTGCACCGCCTCAGCAGCAGCAGCAGCAGCAGCAGGAGCAGCAGCGAGACAACCAGCGAGCTGCCGGCAAATTGAGTTTGTGGAGTATTGCTAAGGCATGCGGATCGTCGTTGATGCGGAGTGCCTCTAGCGGAGCAGCAGCTGCAGCAGCAGCTGCAGCAGCAGCTGAGAACGGTCCGCGTGGTCTAGCCAAGTCTTCCGCTGCAGCAGCAAATGCAGCGCCAGACACAGCAGCGGCAGCAGCAGCAGCTGAAACGGACTCAGAATTACCCTCTGCCGTCGCAGAAGTCTCTTCATTTTGGAAGCTGCTGCTGCCTCGACGCCGCAAGGCAACTCCAGCTTCTGCTGCTGCTGCTGCTGCTGATCCGCAGGTATCCGTGGAAGGCACGTCCCAAGCAATCTCAGCAGCAGCAGCAGCAGCAGCAGCTGGCCCCGACGCGTCGCAGCAGCAGTTGCTGAAGGCGTGGGGCCCTGCTGCAGCACGCAGTACTTTGCCTGCCGCAGCACGAGTGCGCTGCATGGCTGCGCTGCCGCTTGTGGCAGCAGCAGCAGCAGCAGAAGACGAACAATACATCTGCGTTGGCGGAGCAGCTGCGTCTGCTGCAGAACCATCTGAAGCAGCTGTTGCTGCTGCTGCATCTCAAGCAGCAGCAGCAAGGGCTGCTGCGTACAGCCCAGCCTCAGCAGCAGCAGCAGCAGCAGCAGGAGACGAGCAGTACATCTGTGTGGGCGGGGCAGCTGCTTGTGCAGCAGGACTAACTGAAGCTAGAACTGCTGCTGTATCTCAAGCAGCTGCAGCAAGAGCTGCTGCTCAAAGCCCAGTCTCAGCAGCAGCAACAGCAGCAGAGCGCTCCCCACACACTGCAGCGGGAAGCAGTTATGTTGCAGCAAAGCAGCCAGGAGAGGCCCCGGGGGCCCATGCGGGGGCCCCTAGCCTGGCAGCAGCAGCGCCGGCAGAAGCAGCAGCTGCTGCTGGCGCTGCAGCAGCAGCGAAACTAAAGCAAGCAGCGGAATGCTATAGCAGCGACTGCAGCAAAGCGGGAAGCGCAACACCCCCCAGCTGGCCTGCCTCAGCTTGCAGCAGCGAGGCCAGTGCAGCAGCAGCAGCAGCAGCGGAGAAGAATATAGCTGCCGCGGCAGCAGAAGCAGCGGAAGCAGCCTGGCAAGCAGCAGGCGAGACAGACTGTGTGGGGAGCTGGTCGCAGCTGCTGCCTGCTGCTTTTAGCTGCATGTTTCCTGAGCCTCTGAAACAGCTGCTGTTTGTGCAGCAGCAGCAGCCGCAGCAGATCAGAGAGGCGCTAGCGCGGCTGCGGAGGCAGCGTGTGAGGAACCGGCTCCAGCTGCAGCACCTTCAGCAGCAGCAGCAGCAGCTGCAGCAGCAGCAGCAGCCGCAGCAGCAGCCGCAGCTGCAGCAGCAGCAGCAACGCCTGCAGGCACTCGCTGATGGCTTGGCTTTCCTTGACTCATTTCTTGCTGTGGCGCTGCGCTGCGCTGAGCAGGGCAGCAGCTGCCGCTGCTTGTCTGAGGGCTGCAGACGAAGAGGGCAGCAGGCGCAGCAGCAGCAGCAACAGCAACCTGAGCAGCAACAGCAACAACAACCTGAGCAGCAGCAGCAACCCGAGCAGCAGCACCAACCCGAGCAGCAGCAGCAACCTGAGCAGCAGCAGCAGCAACCAGAGCAGCAGC